AGGATGCCTGGAGTCAGACTGCGTAGGGCCTGTTGAGGATGACTGGGGAGGGGGCCTGCGCCTAAACTTCTGTTCCTTCGCCTCTGTTGGTCCTGCGTGGCTATCTGAAAAAAGTAATGGCTTGGCTGCTGCAGACTGTATTGCTTCTTTGCACCTGCCGGTATGCAGAGCCCCAGGAATTTCAAAGTCACCTTGGACTCTTGGAGGTCATGCAGCCTAGGATCCATCTGCTCTGAGAAGATCCCTCAAATGGGAGGTCCTAGATGGTCTGTTATACCTCCTGAGGGAGCTCTGAGGATTGCAACCAGGAACTCCTACGCACTGTCACCGCAGTCGCCATTGATCCGGCCATAGAGACAGTGGCATCCAGGGTTGCTTGCAGGGAGGCCCGAGATACAGTTTTCCCTTCCTCAGTTAGGGATGAAAACTCCTTTCTGGAGTCCTGGGGGAGAAGATCCCTGAATTTAATCAAGAATTGCCACATGTTGAAGTCGTAGCACCCCAGCAGGGCCTGCTGGTTTGCTATACAAAGTTGCAGGCCCCCTGAAGAGTAAGTGTTGCACCCTAAGAGGTTTAGCTTTTTAGGGTCCTTTGACTTGGGCGTAGAGCTTGGCTGTCCCTGGAGGGCTCCCTCATTGGCCACCGCAACCACCCATGATCCGACGGGCGGGAGGGGTGCGTGAAGAGGAACTTGTACCCCTGGGCTGGAACAAAGTATTTATGCTCTGAGTGTTTCACCATCAGTGGAAGTGGGGGGGGGGGTATGCCAGAGGCTTTAATAGGGTCCATGATGGAATCGTGCAGCAGCAGGACCACTCTGGATGGGCCCGCTGGCGACAGAATATCCAGAAGGCCATGCATCACCTCCTTAACCACTTCTGCTTGGACCCCTAGATTTGAGGCTACCCATTTTAGTAGGTCCTGATATGCCTTATGGTCATCTGGAGGTGGAGATACCCCGTGTACCACTGTGGCCTTATCCGGCGAGGATGAGGAGAAGGCTAAAGCCTGATGGGGAGCCTCAATTGGTGCCTCGGTGTCCGCAGGAGCCTACAGGGCTTCTTGGGGTTCAGTACCTTGTTCGTTACAGGAATCTGGTTCCGGGATATCCCTGCGCAGTACCGGGAGTGCTCTAGTGTCCGAAACGACCAAATAAGAGCATCTCAAAGAGGTCCCTTGTAGTTGGGGAAACCTCCAAGGGTTCCAAAAGGGCCACTGCATGGTGGTTGGGCCCCATGGGTACAGTGGCCAGGCACCCAGAGGTCCCGACGAACTCGACGCTGTAATGGAGTGGGAATAGCGTGGGGAGCAGCAGGGTCAGCTGCTTTGGCAGGGGGAGTACACTTCTGTGTCCGAGTTTGATGAGGAGGAAGAGGTGCACTGTGGAGACCAGAGGATGCCGTGCCACTGGGTGCCAGTGAAGGCCGCCTAGAGGACCTTGAGACTGTCAGAGACGGTTTCCCCTGGGACAGCTGACACAGTGCTGGATGAGGCGCTGGCATCGATTTCCTGTTGCTTGGGGGCATTGGCAGTGCCGAACCCTGACCCTCTGGGGAGCTTGGTACTGGCAGGGTTAGAAGATACCTTGCAGCCGCAAAGGCTTTGGGGGGATCAACAGGACCACAAACTGCCGGGTACAATGATCTTGAGTGGGCATTGTAGGACACTGCAGTGCCAGGGCTGGGTGCACCTGGAGGTGGGGCATCAGGGATGAAGAGTGGCCCAAGCATGGGTCTCACGCTCTCCCTGTCTCCTTTGTCCTTTGGCACCGAAGAACGGTTCTTCTCCTGGTGCTTGCGGTGTTTCTTCTTAGGCACCCAAGATCATGATTGGTGCCGAGTGGCCCTTGTTGGTGGAGGAGTGCTCTGCACCAAGGTGTTCGGTGCCGAGTCCGAACCTGGCTCCAAGGCTGGTCTTAAGGCTGCCTCTATGAGGAGGAACTTCAAACAAGCAGCGCAGTCCTTCTGGGTCCGGGGCTTGAACGCTACAAATTTGGCAGCGGTCCTTCCTATGAGCTTCCCTTAACATGTGAGATAGTTCAAGTGTGGGTCACTCAAAGGCATAGATTTTCTGCACAACAGACAAGGCTTAAACCCCAGTGACCGAGGCATGCCTCAGTACCGGGACGAAGGACAACTCTGCTATTTAAGAGTGGAGGCATCCAAACTAACACCATCAAAACTGCACTAACTACTAAAAACTACGAGCACTATCTACGTTAAAAGGTTAGAAAAACCACCAAGAGAGGAGAGTGTCTAAGCAATGAGAGGTTCCAGCAACAATCATGGGCGGTAAGAAGGAATTGAAGGAGGGCAGGGCCGGCAGGGCCCCTTATACCAGCACTATGAGCGCGCAACACCAGAGGACACTAGAGCCAATCCAACGGATACCATTAAGGGGAAAATTTCCAGCAGATGTGCTCAGGGCGCACATACACCTACACTAGAATGGACACATGCATGCACTTGAAGAACATCATGTAGGCCCTGCGGCTAACTGCAATAAGGCAACTGTCCCCCAGGGATCTGCCTCCCTTGTGAAGTATTTTGGCCTCTGTGTTCATATGATTCACAAACAGGTTGGCTGAAGGGAAGCCAACCATCTGAACAATGAGATAGAAAAACTCCTAATTCAGGTACCACTCAGAATGGTTGACCCTGAGCCTGCTGCGCCAGTCTGCCTTTTGGTTCAGGTCCCCTTTGATGTGGATCACTTTGAGGGAAAGGAGGAATGGTTCCACCCAGCTCACTACTTCCGCTGTTTCTGCGTGTAGTGCCCAACTCCTTGTTCCCCCTTGGCTGTTTAAATATGCGATCACAGCCCTATTGTTTGATTGAATCAGGATGCGGTTTCCCCTTAGGGTGGGCTGGAACCTTCACAGAGCTAACTTGACCAATCTCAGCTGTAGGAGATTTATGCTGCAAGCCTTTTTCTTCTTGCTCCAGAGGCCCTACGCTGTTTGGGGCTCCAAGTGAGCTCCCCAGACCTGTTTGCAAGAACTAAAGGATCTGGAAGGCAGATAAGGAAGCCTTTACAAACATTATCATGGGCTGACGACCACTGCAAAGAGTTCAATACCTATGTTGGAACCCATACTTGATCTTTCATGTGTTCCAGGGAGTGGTCCCAGATGTTTTGTATGAAGTCCTGAAGACTTCTGATGTGTGATTGTGCCCATGGAGTGATCCCTAAGCATGACACCAGGAATCCTAGCAGTTGGAAGCATAGCGCTATGGTAGGCTTCCTGTGGCTCTGAAGCATGAAAATAAATTCCTGGATGAAACTAGAGAACTTTTCTTGGCACTGGTGAGGAAACTGTGCACCTGGAGAAGCACTGCCAAAAAACTGGGAAGAAAAGTTAAATAGAAAGAGTAAGGACAGGCGCAAAAGAAACTGCCACTGTTTGCTGCTTCAGAGGCAGAGAAAACTGACAGCAAGCAGGAGCAGAGGGGACGTGGCCAGACTCTGTGGCTCCAAAAAGGTGATCTGCCTCTGTGAGCTGGAGAGAGAGAGGAGGAGGAGGAGAGCAGTCCAGGCATCTAGAATTGTGGGAGATGCTGGGCTGCAGAAAAGGGAGGGGATCCAAGAGAAGCAGTTGATGGCTTCACTGTTATATTTTTGATTTGCTGAGTATCCAACATATGTTTCTAGATTTCTTTTAAAAAGTACATTAAGAATATCCTCAATTTCCTACCACTTCCTTTAATCTAAATATTGCAATGATTTAGGAAGTATATTTTTCTCTCTTCTAGGAATCAAGGCTGCTATTTTCCTCACCTTTGTCTACAGTACACCTGATACTTGTCAGCACTCAGCAGGGAACTGAGTTGGTGGAAAACAGTCAGCCTTTTCCGAGACTAATGTTAGAAAAATTCTTTGATCAGTTGTCAGCAAATGCAACTGAGCCATCTCCTGAAAGACAGCAAACATAACTTATGACACTGTGCACTCATCCAGCCATAACAAGAAATTTTAAATGCATTCCAAAACCCAGGTCTAATACACCAGTCAAGCAAAAACATCCAGACATAGTGAATTCCATAAACTATGCCACATAAACTGCCGCATTCTCAAAACACTGACACAGCTACAGGCTATGTGTACGTAGCTCATAAAAGACGCCTCTAAACTGAAGTGGCACTGCCATCCTTAGACACAACACAAGCATTACAACTTTCACTGATATGATACCACTCAGATAGGAAAATTAAGACAAATCATTTGAATTTTTGGATACATTTGTAAAAAAATCCACATCAGCACACACCCAAAATAAAATCCCACAGAAGAAAACCTTCCCATTCATACCAGTTATTTAATAATTACTATGATTATTATTATTATGGAACCGCCTGGCCAAGTGTAGTTGATAAAAAGCCAACTTGATTACTGATCTAACGGCAGCAGGCTGTGTGTGAAAGATCTAAGCAAATAAAAGTGACTGACTCCACAAAGGAAACAGTGAAACTAACTATACACAAAGAGCTGTCAAATGCACTAAGTAAACTGAGGGGGAAATAAAGACAAATATTTTCTTTTCTCTAATGCCTTTTTAATTATAGTAATAGCAGGTGCTATGTTTTAACTACAGGAAATAAAAATTTCAGACATAAATGTAACATTTAGGTTGAGGGTGCAATTTTAACATTTGAATCTGTGCTGAAAAACTACGAATACATATTTGCCAGAAGGGGGTTTAACAGTTAAGATATAAACACTTAACAAATGTGTTTTGGATGGGTGGATGGAGGGGGGGAAGGACTATTACAGAAATGTTGACAGAAATAAACAGTCCTACCAACCTAGCATGTATTTAAATTAATCTAAAGGGATGCACGTTTCTTTCAGATATTTCTAAGGCACCCATCACTTTGCTATCTAAGCTCAGTGTCAACTGATATAGTATGAACAAATTTTCCTTCAGTCAAAAATAATAAAAGTAGAAATATTTCATTTGAAAGAATCAACCACAATTAATAAATAGATATGAGCAATCTTACCTTTGGTAGAATATGCTTCAGCAATCATCCTCAGCCTATAAGGAGGCACAGCAACAAGATGCAAGTCATCAACTTCAACCCTGGCATACGTGTTAAGTGCTTCTTTGTAATCACCTTCCACATAGTTTAACTTGGCCATAATTAAGTTGGCTTCTTGTAAGAATTCTGGCTAGAAAAAAGAGGAATAAGATAAACTACTTTTTTCTGAGGCAAAACACTTTAAAAAATGACAAAAAGTTATCTGCACCCTCGTAATTTCCACCATATTCTGGAAGCCTTTCCAGCAGATTTTTCATTCCCAGATTACAGTTTATTATTTTTATTCTGTAGTTAAATTTTCAGATAATATTTGGGAGGCTATTACAGGAAAACATATATTGAGTCCCTCACCAAGCTACAGAACAGTGATTTTATTCTTACCAGTCATTTTTACGTGTGGAAATATATATTATTTCATATCTGCATTATGTAAGCATCCTTGAATCTGTATTAGGATCCTAGCACGCCAGGTGGTGTACAAACATTTAAAATGACACACCCTTGCCATGTAAGAGCTGGATTTTATAATGTACTATGAGAATTAATGTATGATTTGATTTCATCCTGTCAGCCACCCTTTTTGAATAGCAGAAAGGAATGACAGACCAGAACAATCCTTGAGTGATTATGGTCACCCTTTTGTTTTAGAATAAGTTATAAAGCTACTATGGTTTCCTATATGTATTACAAATTAGGAAGTAAGAGACAGGATTCTCTATTGTATCTATGTTAAGATTAGAGGAATGTTGAGGGCCTGAAGCCCCAATGTGAATTGTTTTAGTTATAAGATTTAGCAAGGCTTGATTTACAATGTATTCTGCTGAATATACAATACTGCTGTCTGTATACCTTGTAAGAGATTGTTTGTGTGAATGAGGAATGCATGCATCAGGAAAAAATAAGGTGTAAAAGCCATCACAAATGTCCAGATGGTCAAGAAGAAGTGAAAGACTTGGAAAGACCAGGAAACAATCAGAAAACATCCATTGTATCCGATGTTAAACATGTTAGCAGCATTGTCGACCTCAGAGGTGAGGCAGGCACCCCCGAAGGCGAGACAACAAATAAAAGATAACGATGGGAAGCCCAACAATAACCATCAAATGATAACACCACTTAAGGACTAATGATTACAGGATGACATTGCAAAATGCACGGACTCAAATGGAAATTTAAAACTATAAAGCTGGGGTGTTTTGCCATGGAACTCTGGGTTCAGTCCTGCAAAGCCTCAGAGCATCGGATCGCGACCGACAGAACCCAGCTCCACACTCGTGCTCAATCTAACTGGCCATTAGATTGACTCGAGCTACAACAGACTGGTAACTATGAACATCACTGGCGGGAGGGAGGGGGAGAGAGAGAGAGAGAGAGAGTGTGTGTGTGTATGTGTGTGTGTGTAAAAAGCATATACTAACTGTGGTATTCTCAATAAATGCTGTGTATTTACCTTCCTCTATAAAGATCCCCTGTGCTTTGTATGAGCATAACAGCCACCCAGGAAGTTTAACATGACAACCAATACATGAAGGTAGGAGTAGGAGATGATGAATTATAAATTTATCACTGTTATTTTAAATTTAGTAATTATGCACTGGCTTTCCCCAACTGCTCCTCAGCCTAGTCATTTTAATTTGGTTGATTTCTTGTAAGTGGAGAGGAGGGTCTTGAAAAAGAATTCACATGAAGAGAGGTCAGTACCCTCACAGATCAGTTTAAGGAGGGCATGGAAGAAATCTCAAAGATGGCTGTGGAAGATGACAAATAGGGTGTTGAAATAGCATCATTGGTGGGGCGAAGGGGAAAAGGGAGACACAGTAATATGCAGTAGTAGATAAGTATGGAGAGAGAGCATTGTGAAGTGCTTTGAAGGAGAGGACATACATATTTCACATCCAACAGCAAGCATTATAGTTTGATGATGAATATCTAAAGGTGGGCCAGAATAGGCTCCAAGTAGAATCGAGGATAAAGACGTCTTGTATGGTTTTCCTCAAAACATGGAACAAATCTGCAGTTTCACTACAGTGCTGAATATTTACATTGATTTTGTTTTCTTCATAGAAGGGGATCTTTATTGGGGTAGGAGTGCTGAGAGACTATTTCAGTAATGTTTGTGAGACACTCTGACATAACCAAATGCAAGGTACTATGGGAATGCAAAGTGTTGTTATTCCTTGAAATGCGTTATCTGTGTCAAGTATCATGTCACTGTGAAAATAAGCTGTTCACAAGACATCTTGAAAATTCTTTGGATTTTCTAAACATCCCTGGGGTCAACAGCTTTCTTTTAAATGTTATCTTTCAATATTAGAATGAAAAAAATGGTCTGAACAAAATTCCATAAGCAAATTAAAGGGATCAAATCCCAAAATACTGAAGACATTCTGGAAGTAATAAAACTGCTTAACAAGAACACTGTAACCAGAGAATTATCTGAGCTCTCAGAAGCTATCATAAAGCTTTTCTTCTCAATTAACTTCCAACTATATCCTTAATTTTCTAACCCCTCCTCCAGACTTATGTGAATACCTTTAGGTTTCCTCTGTCAAGTGCTGCAGTGAGATGTTTCTTGACCTCGGTCAGCTTTGGCCGGGGACCCCGGGGACTAGTGCCCTGTTTAAAAGGATTTTCCTTCAAAAACTGTTCTAGTTTGGACTCCCCAAGGAGAAGTTCTGCCATGTCATCTATAAAGAGAAAAAACAGCGTCAAAGAGAAAAAGTCTTCACAACAGTAATAGCCATTCTATCCAGCTGATATTTCACACAGATTACAGAGGAAGCATACAGCAGTGGAGGTAATTATTTTTAGGTCTGGACTTTAAATGCAGAACTCATTGTAGAGACACATTAAGGGCCAGTGATCCAGATTTAACTCAGCATTATAAAAGTGGTGTTTATTATTTGATTTTTCAATTTATCATTTAAATACTTATAGCATGCATTATAGTCACAGAGATTAAGGCAAATCTATTTCCCATTAATTGGGATCTAATACTCTATGACCTTTTGGTTTTTTAAATCAAAAACCATTGACAAGAGGTGCAGCTCTCAGGGCTTTCCGAATATAGGTAAACTCAGCATTTGATGAATTTCTGGCAGTAGTGAATTCCAGAGGCAAGCACCTGCTACCAAGAATGCCCTACCCCATCTCACAAACATCATACTTGCAAGAGCTAGATTAAGATTTCTACCTGAATACAGATTATGTGGCAGCTCAGAGAAGATGTCCCTCAGGATTTCCTGGTCAATTAGGGCATTACAGATGGTGACCAGCTACTTGAATTTTATCTGAAACTTAACCAGCAGCCAGCACTAGCACTTCCATCTTGGAAAACTGACTGTCATCCAGTTTCCCATTTTTGCCAGACCTTGGAAAAACAAGGCAATGGCTCAATCTGGGTCTGATAAAAAGGTGACAGAGCTATCAAACATCAGGAGGTTGAGAACACTGTAACCCTTATCAGCGTCCCAAGTGCCTTCACCTACACGTTAAACAAAACAGGTAATAAGACTGGGCTTTGTGATTCTAAGCAGATTCCTTCCACTGTGCCAGGTCTCACAAACATATCAACAGCACCTTACGTTTGACATTATTAAGACTGCTAAAAGATCTAGCTGGATTAGCGCATCTGACCTGTGTACACTGAAATGATGAAGTCAGAGTGAGTAATGCTGTTTCTGTATCATATCCTGATCTTAAATGTGACAGGCAGATGTCTAAAGGACAAAAGGATGCCAGATACCATTTCATTTGGCCTGACAGAAGCAGTAACAACTCTGGACAATCTTTCAATCCATATCTCAATGGTGTACATTTCCCGTTTCAAAACAGAAAAAAAATAGTAATTTTGCTCAATATGTATCCAAATAATTTCAATAAAGATAAAAATCTTCCTCTTGCTGATTTGTAGAGCACCCAGCCTATCAAAAATAAGTCAGTGCTGAGTTGCCAGCTCTTATCAACTCTTGTCCTGAATATTCACCAATGTATTGAATTATATATACAAGCAGGCAAGCGTCACTGTTCTGTAGGCATCAGCAATATGGGGAAATGGCTTGAGTTCGAACTATTCCTGTGCTGAAACCTATACATGCCTTTGTCAAAAGGCAAACTGACATTTGATCATTTTACTCCTAGAACAGTGAGCCCAAAGTTCTCAGAAGAAGTGTTTTCATTTCACAGTGTCAGTGACACTAGAGTTAGTTTAGGTTTAGTTAGTTAGACTAACAAGCCAAACTAGAGTTGTGAAATAAATGCCAATAGTTTCAACATATTTTTAAAAATAGGCTAGAGAGGACTTTCAATACAATGTACTCATTGAAGCTCTTATAACCAAACTAATCACCTTATGCACTGAATTTGATAACCTTGAATTAAATGTTTCAACTCTTAAATAAACCTCGAATGAAAGGGTCCCATAGCAAAGAAGATCTTTTGATTTAGTAAAAGACAAGGAACCCATTGTTAACTGCTGCAGGAAACCAGCAGGTTAAGGAGGCTTTTAGTATTTGCTTCATCACTCATAAGGACTGAGCATTTTTATGAAATTCACAAGACTAAATCATGCTTACAAAGTACTCCTTGTGTTTACAAAGCAAGGAAATCTTTCCCAGTGGTATGAGTTTTTCTACAATTATCAAGATATTTTAAACTGTGACTTTAATAGCTGCAATTTGTAATCAAAAAGGTCATTACAGCTTTTTAAGGGTAGACTCTCAAAATTAGGACATCAGTTACAAAGTCTGAAGCAGATTCTAATACTTTACAGGTAAATTTTTATTGTACAGTATCTGAAGAAATAAAGATATGTCAGGCCAATATGCTCCCAAACATTACGCAGTGCTGACACTTGCCCCTTTCAGGACAGGTTAACTTCACTAGCACTGCACATTTTGAAGGAATTTAAGTGAAACTGCAACAAACTCATTTAACAGTAACAGTGCTCAGAAGGAAAGAATAGAAAATAATAGCATAAAGGATGATTCGATGCTGAAAATGAGAAAAAGAGGACAAGCCATATAGCAACAGCAAGTGGAAGAAAGTAATCTTGTATCATTGATCCAATAAATATTTTACAGATAATGATTCATACCATAGGCATTCCAGCACAAAGTAATTTGCATCAATACCAATACGCCTGCTGCAAGTGCTGATATGACAGAGAACATATACTGAAATGTATAAAAATTACAATACAATACGGCACCATTTTCAAAGGTACCAGAACTCTAGAATGAAGGCATATTTTAAAAATATTTGATATGGTATGGTACCTTTTCACTTTGCTATAGGCAGCTAATTATGTATTTTCTATTTTTCTTCAAACATGGCTTAAACTGTAACGACTAGATAAGTGCAAACAGTTTGAATCTAACGAAGGACACTACTCACAAAATACTTGGGATACAAAAGAAGAGATCTATATCTAAAGTTATAGTGCATATTTCATCCCCATGGATACATCCTTATTTCAAATTTCATTGAAATAACCATTCCAATATCAATTTGAAAACCAGGTAACAGAGTCGGACATTATAAAGGTACAAGACATCGTGTTAGAGGTTTCCTCAGTAGTGATGTACTTTCCCTCCGTAACTGCCCCATCCAAACGGAGGTCAGACATGGTAAACTGTGTAGACACTAAAAAATAGCTTTGAGGGCACAGTAATGCTATTCAATGTATCTCACTTTCACTCAATGGCCAATGTGAGGAATTTTACAAGTAGTATGTAAAAATTTCTTCTTGAGCAAGATCAACAGTCAGCCACAAGCTTACAATAAAACTGCACTTCAAACATGTTCACAGGCCCCCAGGATTCTCTCACCTGCATTTCAGAGGAAAGATTACTGAGGGTATGTCTACACTGCAATTAAACACCCACGGCTGACCCATATGCAGGGCTCGGACTACAGGGCTATAAAATTGTGATGTACGCCTTTGGGGCTCAAGCTCAGGGACCCCGTGAGGGGGTAGGGGGCAGGCTATTTTTTAATCAATGAGCTGGAAGTAAACAAAATTACTGCTAATAAAATTTGCAGATGACACAAACACTGAATAATGAGGAGGACAGGTCAATCACAGAGGACAATCTGGACCGTTTGGTAAGCTGGGCCCCTTAAAACAAAATACATTTTAATACAGGCACATGCTATCAGGCACTGCCTCCAATAATTAGGCCTAATGGCTGCAGCATGGGTCACGGCGAGGCATAGGTTTGGGTCTGGGCCACGGGTGGCCCTGAAATTGAGATCTGGGGGCAGGACAGGACCGAGATCAGAGTCTGTAGACAAACCAGGATCAGAACCGTAGCCAGAGGCCAGGTGCAGAACAGAAGTCGAATCTGGGAGGTCAGAGTCCAAAGACAAGCCAACCTGATACCGAAGTCGGAGTTCAGATATGCACCAAAGGTCAAAACCAGATAGAGTCTGAGGCTTTGGGGGTGTGACATGAGGGAGGCTGTACCTCAAAGTAGCACTCTGTAACCTCCATAATCATCATTTGTATATGGTTGTGATATTTCTTCCAAACCATGTCTTGTAAGCTATTATATTAAAAATCATGATCTGCTGAAACTCACTGTTCTGTTAAAATATGTACATCGTTATTGTGTATGACGTTATGAGATTCTGCTATATGGCTGTTATTGAAATATGTTGCAAGTCTGGGTGATGCCCACAGCCAGCTCTCCAGGGACAACAAAGGAGGTGACCCACACCCAGGCGGGCGTTAAACGACTATCACCAACCATGAACCAGCAGGGGAATTGTAAACAAGAGATTTACAATTCAATAAGAGACAGTGGTGCAAGCACCACACAATAGGGACTGCTCAACTCTGACTCAGCAAAGCCCACCAGGACGTCTGGGCCATTGTTTTTCCAGGGACATGAATTGAGAGTATAAAATAAGGGACAGTGACATCATGAGACCACCTCCTCCACCTATGCTGAAGGCAACAAGAACACTGGGAAGACAAGGACTTGGAACTCTGGGGGGGAGGGATAGCTCAGTGGTTTGAGCATTGGCCTGCTAAACCCAGGGCTGTGAGTTCAATCCTTGAGCGGGCCACTTCGGGATCAGGGGCAAAATCAGTACTTGTTCCTGCTAGTGATGGCAGGGGGCTGGACTCGATGACCTTTCAGGGTCCCTTCCAGTTCTATGAGATAGGTATATCTCCATATATTAACTAGGGAGATTGGTCCCAGGCTGAGAAGGGAATTCGAACTGTGTATTAAGAACTGTAATCTGCCTGCAACATCCAATGGAGTGAGAAAAACTGTTTGATTCAAATCTTACTGAGAATAATAAAGTTTAGGATTTAGAATGAGTATTAGGTAACTATCTCTGACCTTTATGCCTACCACTTATAATCAGTTTAACTCTATCTTTCTGTAATTAATAAACTTCTTTTAATGTTTTCTCTTTACCAGTGAGTTTGTCTAAAGCGTTTGGGAAAAAGACATTTACTTTTTCTGTAACTGGTGTTCTTCAAGATGTGCTGCTCACGTTCATTCCATATTACGTGTGTGTGCTCGCCACATGCACTGGTGCTGGAAGCTTTTCCCTCAGTGGTATCCGTAGGGGACCAGCTCTGGAATCCTCTGGAGTGGCGCGCACATGCCTCAGTATAAGGGGTGCCGCCGGCTCCCCCAAAGCTCATTTCCTTCTTGCTGGAAACTCCGAC